ATGATTCTTAGTGAAATGTAGAAAAGATTTTAAATAATAATCTGCGTGTTGCAATGACACACTCCTTTAAATTTCAAACTTTAGATAAAAGCAATAAAATGTTTAATGAGAGAAAGAATAAAAGAGTTGTTTGTCTAAATCAGCTGTTTTCTGGCAATGATTTCTCTCATTATTCGCATCCTTTGAAATCTGTTATCTACGAAAGCTTACAAATACATAAATCAAGATGGAGGGAGAAGATCTTCAGCCATTGGTTCTTACAAGAGAGAAATGAGAGAGAAAAAGGATTAAAAAAATTATTGAGAATTATTTCTGAGAAAGAGAATTTCGCTCATAAAAGAAAGCATAAATCATAAATATTCATCATAACTTTTCTTATCCTTTGGATGAACAGAAGTCCTTAAGAGTTTTAACTAGTGATTTTATTACAAATATATATCAAATTAGAAAAACATTGTTCCAATTTATAAAGAAAAATAATAAATTTTGTGCATTTTAAAAAAGTGAAAGCTTCCAAAAGTGTTGTTAAAAATTGAAAAATTATAACTTTATTATTAAATCAAAAACAGCAAAATGTATTCAGAAGAAGTTCTAAGTGGCGTTCAAGACCAATGGATGGAAGATATCAGAAATAATCCAGCATTCTTAATGATCAACAATCCAAAACCAATGGCTAAAGTCTCACCACCTCGATTGTCACCTCGATTGTCATGTGATGAGTATCTTCATTGCTTTAATCAATTCAATGCAGAACATGAAAAATATCTTCCTTTGATTGGAGCACCAAATTATGCGCCTGAAATATCACCAATGGAAACAAAAGCCAGTACATCGAGAAAGTCATTTGGAAATCAACTGGAAGCAGAAAACTACTCATCAATTAACTTATCTGAATCAGAAATAGCAAGCAGTTTATCAGGAAAGCAAATAATTAAATCCCCAACAACCACATCGAGAAGCTCGTCGGTTAATGAAGTAACAACAATCTCATCAAAAAAGTCAGCTCGATTGGAAGCAGTAATAAGCGCATTGAGAAAATCATTAGCTGAATCACTACCAAGCTTGTCGGAAACTGAAGCAACAACCATCATGTCTGAAAAGGAAGCAACTGAATCAACTGAACCAAAAGCCAGCTCGTCAAGAAATTTAGAATCAGCAGAAGTTAACTTGAATGCTATGTCAATACCTAAACATGAAATCGAATGTGACATTGAAACCTTCTTAGTTCATCACACCAAAAACTTCTTCAGCAAGACGGGAACAAGTTTAAAAAGCAATTACCGCAAGAAATTCGGTTTTCGTCAATTGATTGAAACGAAGGACGTAGAATTATATGCTTCAAATCCCAGAAATACTACAAGGAAGCGTACAATTGCTGATGCATCGAATTCATCTGTGGCTTCAGTCAAGGAGTCAGAAAAATCAACAGATGAAGAGTCGCAGCTCGAAAATCCTCCAAAGAGAATCAAATTAGATTCTGGTAGTACTCAAGTTACAAGCAAGCAAGTCCAGAAGGAAGTGAACATATTTGAAAAAGAAGCAACCTTCCATATTGTGTTCCGTGCTAATCGATTGAAGGAACTGAAGAATACAAATGAAAAATCCAAAATTGATGTCTCTTCAGCTCAATTACCTGCATTTCCTTTAATGCGTCGCACTTTTCCAAGCCTTACAGAACGAACTGAAAAGGAACAGAAGAAAAGAGATAAAAACACTGCAGCAGCATCAAAGTCTCGTGCGAAAAATAAAATTTATGCTCAGAATTTGGAAGAAGAAGCATTTGAAGCAATGAAGGAAAACTTCGAATTGAAACGCAAAGTTGCATTCCTGAGAGCTCAAGTCAACTCCACATTGAAGAAACATGGAAAGAAGGAAGTCAACTTCAACGAACTCTACGAAAGCTATTTGGAAAAAATGATGAAGAAGACAGCTTCAGAAGTTTCAGAAGAATGAAAGAAAAATTCTTTCTGGAAATGCAAATGATTCAGATTTCACATGAAATTCAACTTCATTTAATTTTTTTAACTTTTCATTTTTATTCTGATTATAAAATTATATTACCAGTAAAATGTTTGTAAATATTGAAAATAAAAGAAACTTGTCCAAAATTGTTGCAACTTAATTCATTCATTGCGTATGACTTTAACAAATGATACAATAAAAAATAAAATGACAAGAAAGAAATTCTCATGTTTTAAATTTTATCTATTTACAGATTTAGTTTGTGATTGAAAAAATTTTCCACAGCTTCATTGGATAGCTTCCCATCACTGTCTCTACAATGACTTTAAGTTTCTTCCAACTTTTCTTTTAATGCGAATAAAAAGAAGTTTGTTTGAGTAAAGCTATGTAACTTCCAATGATCAGATTTTCAATTTTTATCTTCTAAAGTTTTTTATCTTATGATTAACCAATCACTCATCCTTAAAGTTAACAACTTTTACAAAATGTATTGCAATGAGCTATCATTCAAAATTACAATTGGTGACACCTTATTTCATAATCAACCATAAAACTGGTTGATTATAATTTCCTTTTAAAACGGTTTCATGAATTTAAGTGCACGGATATTCTTCCATAATTAATTTCATTAATATTTAATTAACAACTTATTCATGAAGCAGTCATTAGATAAAATCCCCTTAATATTTAAGGATCTTTATAAGAAATTTCCCGATCAAAAGCAATGCATCCTAATTGCAAGCAATAAATATTGAACTTCTCTAATTATATCATATTTAAAAGTGGGAAAGATTGTCAAGTCATAAACATTTAATAACAAAGTTAATGTCATTATAATGACCACAATGAATTCCGGAAATGATTTGAAATTCCAGAAACTTTATTGACGCTGCAGAGGCGTAAAATTAGTTCCAAATTCGTGCAAAAAGAAATTGTTCCAGGTAAGAAATTCAATTCTTTTTTCATGATTTTTATCACGTTGCAATCCAATATTTTTGGAGCATGTTACAAATTAATTTTGTTTCAATTGCAGGTATAATTGTCGAGGGTTATGTTGAGGATTTGTAGTAATTGAAAGATTTATTAAGCCTTATGCATTCCATTTTGGATTAAATTGAAAGTGAATAAAATGTTGGAAAATATTCGTATCTAAACATTAATTCAAACGAGCATGACTTAAATTCATTGTCATTATTTCAATTGTCTTACAAATGATTCTTAATGTAGAAAAGATTTTAAAAACGAATGAACATGTTGCAATGACACACTCCTTTAAATTTCAAACTTTAGATAAAAGCAATAAAATGTTTAATGAGAGAAAGAATAAAAGAGTTGTTTGTCTAAATCAGCTGTTTTATGGCAATGATTTCTCTCATTATTCGCATGCTTTGAAATCTGTTATCTACAAAAGCTTACAAATACATAAATCAAGATGGAGGGAGAAGATCTTCAGCCATTGGTTCTTACAAGAGAGAAATGAGAGAGAAAAAGGATTAAAAAAATTATTGAGAATTATTTCTGAGAAAGAGAATTTCGCTTATAAAAGAAAGCATAAATCATAAATATTCATCATAACTTTTCCTTCTTGCTAGCCGTACAGAAGTCCTTAAGAGTTTTAACTAGTGAAGTTATTAGAAATATTCATCAAATTAGAAAAACATTGTTCCAATTTATAAAGAAAAATAATAAATTTTGTGCATTTTAAAAAAGTGAAAGCTTCCAAAAGTGTTGTTAAAAATTGAAAAATTATAACTTTATTATTAAATCAAAAACAGCAAAATGTATTCAGAAGAAGTTCTAAGTGGCGTTCAAGACCAATGGATGGAAGATATCAGAAATAATCCAGCATTCTTAATGATCAACAATCCAAAACCAATGGCTAAAGTCTCACCACCTCGATTGTCATGTGATGAGTATCTTCATTGCTTTAATCAATTCAATGCAGAACATGAAAAATATCTTCCTTTGATTGGAGCACCAAATTATGCGCCTGAAATATCACCAATGAAAACAAAAGCCAGTACATCGAGAAAGTCATTTGGAAATCAACTGGAAGCAAAAAACTACCCACCGATTAGCCCATTGTCATGTGATGCGTATCTTCATTGCTTTAATCAATTCAATGCAGAACATGAAAAATATCTTCCTTTGATTGGAGCACCAAATTATGCGCCTGAAATATCACCAATGAAAACAAAAGCCAGTACATCGAGAAAGTCATTTGGAAATCAACTGGAAGCAAAAAACTACCCACCGATTAGCCCATTGTCATGTGATGCGTATCTTCATTGCTTTAATCAATTCAATGCAGAACATGAAAAATATCTTCCTTTGATTGGAGCACCAAATTATGCGCCTGAAATATCACCANTTACCAGTAAAATGTTTGTAAATATTGAAAATAAAAGAAACTTGTCCAAAATTATTGCAACTTAATTCATTCATTGCGTATGACTTTAACAAATGATACAATAAAAAATAAAATGACAAGAAAGAAATTCTCATGTTTTAAATTTTATCTATTTACAGATTTAGTTTGTGATTGAAAAATTTTCCACAGCTTCATTGGATAGTTTCCCATCACTGTCTTCATAATGACTATAAGTTTTTTCCAACTTTTCATTTAAAGCAAATAAAAAGAAGTTTGTTTGAGTAAAGCATTCTAACTTCAAATGATCAGATTTTCAATTTCTTTCTTCCAAAGTTTTTATCTTATGATTAATCAATCACTCATCCTTAAAGTTAACAACTTTTACAAAATGTATTGCAATAAATCATCATTCACAATTACAACTATCTAGTAACATCTTATTTTATAATTATAATCTACCAAAAACAATGTTATTCAAATTTCTTGTAAAAATGGTGTCATGAATTCAAGTGCACGAATATTTTTCCGTAATTAATTTAATTAATATTCAATTAACGACTTCTTCATGAAACAATCATTGGTAAAATCTCATTAATAATTAAGGATCTTTATAAGAAATTTCCCGATCAAAATCAATGCATCCTAATAGCAAGCAATAAATATTAAACTTTCCTGATTATACCATATTTGAAAGTATGAAAGATTGTCAAGTCATAAAAATTTAATAACAAACTTAATGTCATTATAATGATCACAGTAAATTCCGGAAATAATTTGAAATTCCAGAAATTTTATAAACGCTGCAGATGCGTTAAACTTGTGTTTATTACAATTACTTGCTGTCAATAAACCCTTTTTTCTTCTTCTGTTATCTACAAAGTCATAAACTAGAAAGAGATAAACGATCTTCAGCCATTGCTTCTCAAAACTAAGTGATAATGGCAAAGATAATGGGGATTAAAAAGATGAAGGAGAAATTTCTCTCAGAGGAATTGAGAAGCGCTCCTATAAAAGAAAGCTTAAATCATAAATATTCACCATAAATTTTCTTACCCTTTGGAAGAACAGAAGTCTCTAAATATTGAAAAAGTGAAAAAGTTTTTTGTATGTAAGTTTAAATATTTAAAACAATTGATATCTTTTGTCTAATAAATTAAAAATTTTTTTGAATATCCTTTAAAAAGTGTGAAGTGATTTAAACTTTATATTTTAGTTTGAATATCAAATTGTAAGACAGGACAGTAAAATGTTTACTTCAACATATTTGAAGTCTCATTATTCCCAACTAATGGCTCAACATTCGGATCTGACTCCACTGATGTTTTCAACACCTTTGTCAAGTGCTCCACATTTAGATTACGGCATGATGGGTTTGACTTCTATTTCAAAACCACCCGTAACACCACCTGTAACTGCGTCGGAATCAACACCCTCTTCATCGAGACGATCATTATTTGGCTTAGCACACAGTCCGTTGAAAGAAATTGAAAAGGAAGCGACTTCAAGTTCATTAATGGAATCAGTAATTGAAACAGCAACCAACTCCCCCAGAAAGCAAAGAAATGTGTCAACTGAATCAAAAGCCAGCTCGTCAAGAAATTTGGAAACTGCAGAAGTTAACCTGAATGCTATTCCAATACCTAAACATGAAATCGAATGTGACATTGAAACCTTCTTAGTTGATCGCATCAAAAACTTCTTCAGCAAGACGGGAACAAGTTTGAAAAGCTATTACCACAAGAAATTCGGTTTTCGTCAATTGATTGAAACGAAGGATACGGAATTATATCCTTGCAATCCCAGAGAGAGCAAAAGGCAGCGTACAATTTCTGATGCATCGACTTCATCTGCATCGACTTCATCTGCATCGACTTCATCTGCATCGTCTTCACCTGCATCGACTTCATCTGCATTGATTTCATCTGCATCGACTTCATTTGCATCGACTTCATCTGCATCATCAGCAAGAAAGCTAGAAAAATCAGCTGATAGT